CAGCCCAGGGTGGTATTTCAAACCCCCGACAAGGAGGATGAAGAGGCCCCCCATCGTAAACTGGGGAAGCTGACTGTCAAGTACAATCGCAAGGACTTGCAGAGGAGGCTAGATATCGAGGAGTGGATTGACGGGCAGTTGCACCTGCTCTATGACTGCGAGGTAAGGCCATCCCTTTACAAGCCGAAGTTATTTGTTTTATATTTTAGTTGAAAGAGATAAGAATGCACTTTTACCAAATCCACAAGCTTTCTAATGAACGCCCACTCAGGATGTCAAAAAGAATCTGTTGGCAAGGCTAGAGGACATCAGTATTTGCGTATGAGTCTTTCCAAAATGTTTTGCCTGCTTGCTGAAAGGCATTTTTGTGTAACAAGCAGTCTAAGCAGGAAATCTAGTCTTTCTAACAAAAACCTGTTTATTATCACCAGCTCAGTGATGATAGAGAAACATTAATTGTGTACAATGAGCACTTACAATAGTTGCTGTAGAAAGTCTCTTTTTACTGTTACTTTTTTCACAATAATAATCTTTTTATTTTTTTATAATCTCATGTCATCCTTTTTTTGAACAGCAAACAGAGTAAAATTCTATGTAGGCTAACAATCTAAAGAAGTGTGCAGCAGCACTATGCAAATATATGATAATGAATATGACATACTATAAATAGAGAATACTTACCATCTGCACTGTTATCGATGTTAAAGCTATGGAATCCAATTCTTTTGTGTTGGCTTGTTAATTATTGTTCAGGTCCGGTGGGAAATTAGAACACATAAACAGCTCTCTAAGCAGTATGTCCTGTGTAATCAGCATGACTTTATTCTTAAGGATAAGCTAAGTCAGAAATGACTTGTGTGCAAGTTCAGAGAAAGAGAGAAATTCAGACAGAGGCTCACTGGAGCTCTTTAAGACATGCCGATATAAAGGGGGATAATCAATAGAATTTAGTATAAAATAATGTGTTATTCTGAAGATATTAAGTGTTTTAGTGTATAAAATCAACAGGCAGGATACATCAGGGGGTCCTATACTAAGTCAGCTTTAGTGAAATATGACTTTAAAATACATACCTTGGCTAACATTATAGAACTTAAGTGTTGTGCTCATAATGATTTGTGAGGTGAATGGTCAGTACAAATATTGCCAAAATATGAATCATAGCACTAATTTGATAAAGACCAAGTGCCGAAAAATCATTTTCTTGCTCTTTTGGATTTGAGAAGTTCTTTGTGAGGCTGTGACTAGAATCACAGAACATACAAGGCACATACAAGGCACACACAGTACCTTATGTCTCTGGTGGTACAGGTTCTGAAGAGGTGTTAACATTAGAATCAGTTTGTGTTGCTTAAAGGGGTTGTTCTGATATTTTACTTCAAGGCAGTCAACATAACTGTAGAAGTAAAGTTTTCATGTTTTCCTTTACTTCACAATGCAATATATATTGAAAGCATTGACTTTATTCTCTCCTCCATCCATTCCATTTTCTAACCTCTTACAGGGTCACAAGGTTCATTCACTCATGTTTTTATAAATATTTTTGCAAGCAGTATAATATAGTAGGTATAGGGAACCAGCTGGAAAGAGAAAGAACACCACACACCTATTTATTTTCCAAGCATTTTGCTTATTGTTGGCATATTGTCTTGATAAGGGCATGTGGGAAGGCACAGTGGCATCACTGCCTCACAGCTCTAGGGTCCTGGAGGACCTGCATGTATTGCATTTTCACAATCTCTTTGTGTTTGTGTGCAGTTTTCCTGGGTGTTGTGGTTTCTTCCCAACTCCCAACAACAGGTTGCGGGTTAGATTTGATTGATTTGATAAATTATGTCTTCCTGGGGGAAGTGGCGTGAAGGGATTTCATAGTGTTGCCAGTATAATCAGTACAGGACTACAGAGAAATACAGCTAAATGAGGATGGCTCACGAAGGTCAAATGCTCTCATTTTGGTCCTTCTAATATGTTGTTTATTAGATTTGAGGACAAAAAACATTAAAAAGGTCCCATTTCTTTTCACCTCTTTTTTTCCTTCCTGTTCTGTTTTTGTGCATTTTCCACCCTTGAGATAAGATAATTATTATTTATTATTGATCTGTTTATAGACCCCATTAAATATATCATTTTAAAAGCATTTTGGAATAACTACTGCAGCAATAATGAAAGGCAACAGGGGGTAAATTACATCTAATTTGTCCTATGTGATCTGCAGACAGGGTGGATTTAATAACTTGAAAGGTTTACAATATTGAACTCCATGGGGGGCTATCAAGATGAGCTGCTTGCAAAAAGGTTGCAGCTAATGATGCAAAGATTTAGAAAATGTTTGCATAATGAACTTTAAAGATGGATAACAAGCTACAGGAGAGAAATACAGGAATCATTGATTTTGCTGTGTATATACTGTATGAAAAGTTCAAACCTAATTTAAATAGCTAACAGTGAAATTTCAACAGTTTAAATTTTCTGCCGAGTCTCTGGGTAAGCCACAATAATACAATTATGTAAATATCACTCGCTTCTTGCCATTACTGTTACAAATAGAGGGGTTACAGAAGAGAGGCGGCTGTCAGGTTTACCTTGCTGGGAAATTCTATTAAAATGTGCAATTGAAAAAAAATTATTGTGTTCACAACACAACAACAACTTGACCATCAACAATGAAACATTCAGTGTTTTGTTCACGATCACAGCCTTGAAGATAGTAACTGACAAGATGTGGTGATTTCAGTTGATATAATGAGATCATTCAACATACCATATCATAGAATTAATTTGAGTTTTATTAACTTCTAAAAAGGCTCTGAAATAGAATACAGAAGACCCCGTTTTAAGTCTTTCTTTGCCTGTAGCATGTCTGAAAAGTTACTCTGTAATCAGAGCAGTTTTTTAAGGACTTTGCTCAGTTACTTGAATATTTGATACTGTACCTAGTCATGACTCATGCCCTACACACATACATTTGTAACATAAAAATATATCACGTGCCTTCCATACAGCATTGTTTCATTTTATATCCAACAACCAGTCAGGAAAAGATAAAGAATTTATTGTTGAAGTTAACTACTTTCTGTAAAAGGCACTAGGCAATCCTGGTCTTAGTCATTTGGTCAACAAGGAAATACACATTCAGGCCTGAGCAACAACAGGAGCTAGTGTTATAAAAGAAAAGGCACAGTCCGGGCTTCACAAAGGCTGCACATCCAATAGTTCAAGTGTACAGCCAAAGGACAGCAAACAATGTAAGGAAAAAGGCTGGGATCAACTTGACCTCATTCCACTGGCTGGAATGACAGTGTGGGTAGCAGTATGGTAGGTATGCAGCTTGCATTCGTGGGTTCATTTTAACAAAGGCTGTTGTCTGAAATTGTAATTAATCAGGGCTAATCAAAAGTGTAATATATACAGTATATGTGCAAAAAATTTGTCAGTGGATATGTGACAATCAAAAAAGAAGTTGCAACAATTGTCCGAAATGGTATGCTTCGACATACCATTACCCAAATGTATACAAAATGCTAATTTATTTATTATGTGCAAGCATTTAACTCTGTATACACAACATTAGTTTTGGATGCTTAAAAAACCAAGGCAATGAGGAAGCTTCTGGACCTACTGTGATCACACATCCATCCATCACAATTCAAATATAATCTGCAGAAAGGTAACCACTGAAATAATCCTCAATATCCTCAGTGTTTTTGTAAATGCATTATTATGCACCTTAGTACAGCACATAGCTACATGAAGCTAGCACCATAGTATATATCAAAAGGAATATAAAGGAAATCAAAATGTTGTTTAGTAAACATGTTTCTCCCACATTTAAATAAAACAGTGATCTGGAAGAAGCAAACCAATATGTACATCCCAATAAATTAATATAATCAAAATGAAGTGAAGATGACACTAATCTAAATGGCCTTTAATGCTTAAAAGAAATTTAGACATGTAAAAGAAAGGTATTCTTCCATGTGTGCACTAACACTTGGATATGAAACATGGATCTTGAATCCAGAGAAAATACAAAAAAAACATTTAATTCAAAGTAGCATGGATCCATATATGAAGAAGAGTCTGTGACATTAGGAGACTGAAGAGATTGAAGTGGCACAGAACAGATTGAACTACAATACGAAACTAACTTTTTGAACTGAGGTAAAGTGGAACTTTTCCTCCAAGAGACAAAACTAATGTTTTGACAGTTCAGTTTAACTTCATATTAATCTTTGAAAGACCGATTTCTAAAATTGAAAGAAACTGCATTTAAAAAAAAATCCCTTTGTAAATTAAATGGATCTTTTCTTCCCTTCTTTATCCAGCAATGCATGCAAAGCATAGATGAACTGGTGATATAAATTTGCTTTTGAAACTATCTTTTTTCAGCAGATTCTTTTACAGATCATTTACTACAAAATGGAAATTGAGATAAGCAGCACAATATTGTTTGTTCAACTTCTTCAAGCATTACAATATCCAGTGTTGAAGACTAAACACATTTAATGGCAAAAGATGGCAACCAAGTCAAAGTTACTGTTAATAGTAAAAACAAATTGGGTCACTTCTAAAAAAGCTCTTATATCACTGACAGAATACTAGAAGTTAATACTTATTAATACTATGTTAACAAAAAATGTTCTGGGAAATTAGAGAATTTCAGTTTAAATAAACTTGCTTTGGCATTTCTTTTTTACTTGCTTAGTCATGTAAAAACATATAGGGACATTTTAATATTGAATTGTATGTTTTGAAAAAGCTCACATTTTAAAACGTGACAAATGTATGGTGTCTCCCTTTCCCTCCCATTCACTCATTTTAACACTCTTAATTAACCCTTATGACTGACAAGTGTAGTTTAATTACATATCCAATTCCATGACATATGTCATGTTATTTATTGAGCACAATATTTCTCTACCAGCAGAAAGATAATGAATTTCAGCATTAAATAGGGTATATCCTCCTTCTCAGGCCTTCAAACAGTAATGTTTCCCACAATCTAAAATCTAAAACTGACCTTCATAGAATAGAACGACAAAAAGATGTAACCAGACTTCCTCTGCAACCATGGTAATTGAGGGCCACAGTTCATTCAGGTTTTCATTCCAGCCCAGCTCTCAGTTCCTTTACTGAATCATTTATGCTCTTAATGAAACTGATCAAGCATTGTTTTCAGATTTTATGGTGGCAGTGATTTTCTATTGCAAACAAAACCTGTCAGACTGCACAAATGTCCATTTTCTGTTTACGAAAATCCAGAAGAGCAAATTTCAGAAGTCAGTCCATTACACTAGGACTTTTTGTAATCCACAAACAGAAACTGTTTTAATATGCTTTAATGTGATGAGAAAATCGAAGCAAAGGCCTGAAACACAAAATGATTACTCAGTCCTTTCCTATGTCCTTTTCCAGCAATGAAAGTTCCACTTTGTGACATATCTGTAAAAGAGTAGCAGTGGCACATGTATCCATCAAGAGCAAGCTGAGAACTAGCTTTTCAAGGTATACCTGAAACGTTTCCTATGTCAACATAAAACAGAATATGGTCTGCATATGTTGTTGAGACAATAATTAAAAGAATAATCACATTTTCTTTTCAGTTTTCCACAGGAATTCACTGGTTGACACCACCTAATGCCATACTGTGGTCATCACATGTCCTAGCAGTACAATGTATAAATAAGAAATGCCCTTAAATAATTCAGCAATTCTTCCACCACTGAGAGTATGTAAGAGTAATCTTGTTCTTTGTGACAACAAAATAAATATTTGCCTGCTGAATGATAAAAAAACAGATGTGTTAAATGTAGTAGGCTTCAAAACTGTTATTTATCATGCTTTTTCTAAAATCTACCGTTTATTAAATGTTGTATTTATATTTTTTCAGTTTTTTTTTTAATATACAAGAAAATAACCCAGAAAAACATCCAATTTTTAACTATTTATTTTAGAAAAAACAGTATTAAAAAAAAGGTCCAGTAGCCCATATACAGTATACTCAGTAACGAAACAAGGACACAGGGCTATAATTGGAGACCAAAAAGACTCAATATCGAACAAAGAAGAGGAAATACTTTATACAAAGAGTTGTAGTTATCTGGAACAACATGGTTGAGTCTCAAACTCTGGGCTCAATTAAGAAAAGACAGAACAAAATTCAGATTCACTTACAGTAGCTACTAAACCACCCAATAAGCAAGACAGACTCATGTATTATCTGTTGAAAGTCCTTTCAAGTAAAAATATATATAAATCAGCAGATTCAAAACTTTTAGAAAAATTAACCTCTCATGCACATACATTTTGTCATTAAATGTAGTGAAAAAAATCAAATGCTTTTGCTAGATGTTAGCCCATGAAAATCGAAGCTGTCCAGAAGCAGAAGGTAACTGGAAAGACACAGGCTCACTGGTGTTTTGTATTTTTCAGTGATCCTTAAGTTTTAGTTAAACTGAAACTGGGTTTTGGTTTTGAGTGCATTTAATTGATCTGGACCCACACCAGGCCTTTATCCTTGGAGTGCTCCAATTTTATTGTGTTGAATGGAAAAATGTTACCTCTATCTTTGATGTTACTCAATTTTGAAATTATTTCAATTATGAAACATCAATGGGGCTTTGGGGGAAAAAAAATGGATTGGTAATAGATAATCCTATTTTAATTTAGATATCATTGGAAAAGACATCCCTCAGGCTTAAATAATGAAATATTGCTTTAACCCCCAATTCATAATCTATGTGCATGTACGAAATGCATATTTTCTTAGACTAAAATTTATATTAAAACCTTTCTTTATTCTGAATATATAAACTATCATCCATGAAATAAAGAACCAGGTATATTTATAAAAGAATGGGAAACAATGCAGAATGATAGGTTGGATGCCATTGGATTAATTTTAATTTGGGCAGCATTACATTTGAAGAAATAAGGTTAACAATTTAAAATTCCTCTTTACATTGCTTATAACTGACGAACAAACAGCAATCTTCCTTTTGTTGTATATAGAAATTTAATATAATTCTTTTATCACAAGTGTTAATAATCAATGTTATGGCTATACAAACAGGTTGGGGACACCATAAGGACTAGACGTTGACTAATACATTATGCAAGAGCACCACATCCAAGAAACATTATTTATTATAAGGAAAAGCAGGATGTAGCTGCTGTACTGTGGTGTTGGTAGACATTTAGGTGGCATTCTGCAACCTGGACAAATTTTTATGTTTTACTTAATTTGTATTCAGTTTTTTTAATTTCACATATCAATCCTTCTGGATTAATAAGAAATAACTATTTACAGTCATCTGTCAGTCTTCAGCATTTGATCTTTTCAGTTGACGTTTCATTTCATTTCACTTAGTATTGAACCATCTTACTTGTTTAATGTACAGTAGGTGCTGGTGATTCTTCAGGCTCATAGACTTCACAATAGGCAATGCCCTGTTTTTTAGTTTTTTTCTCTTCTTCAAACATGGTGTAAAGGAAATAGGCCCCTTAAAATGTGAGTACTCTCTTAACAGACTCAATATTTGTTTGATGTCAGGCAGTGACTGGATTAATAGTGGCCCAAAGCTATGTTTCTTAAACAGCAATTGCACAGTAACTTATTGCCATTCCATCCATCCATCCATTACATCAATCTTACATTTTTATATTTACAAAAAAGGCTACAGGCGAACAAACACCACAGCTAGTTATATAAAGGATTTAATTTGTTAATTTAACCCTCTGTGTACTTCCTGCACTTTAAATTTAGAATTTAAACTAGGTTTATCTGCCAAATCGGAGCATATTAACCACAAGTCTAAGTTCTAAAGACTTGCAACTGCACAGTAGCAAAATGACACAAAAATATCCATGAAGAAAAATAGAAAATGTCAACCTTTCCAGCTATTTTCAATTACTGCAACATCCAGTACAGGCTTGTGGTAAACTGATGCTTACCACATTTGGAGCTGGAACTCAACACAGGAGGCACCTCGCCTTGGAATTTAATCCAAGATCCAAGAGCTGTGAGGCAGCATTGCTAACCGTGCCTCCCACATAAACGCCTATTAAAAGCAAACCGAAATGCATAAAAAGCTTTCATGACTAAGACACAGCTGATAAGATTTAAATAGCTTTAATTACCCGAGGAAATTATGCTCCATTGAATCAGATTAGACATTACTTAAAGTCTAGGCTAAATTTATAGTTAGGAGGAAAATTAACTGCACCTGTTTTTTCTCTGGGTGGCATAATGGCAGTTAGCTACCGCTGCCTCACAGCTCTTGTCCTGGATTTGATGCTAGACTAGCTTTCTATGTAAAGTTTATATTTTCCTAGTGCATGTAGGATTTCTCTTGGTATTTTGCTTTCCTTCCAGAGATGTATAAATTAGGTTAATCTCTAATAGTCTAATTGTCCATGTGTGTGTATGCCATACAATGGATTAACCTCTTGTCCGTGGTGTAGCCTTGCCTTGTTATCTTCTTGGATGAGCTCCAGGATGCAGTGACCCTGACAGATATTCCTCCATCATTCCTCCCATTGGTGTACAACATATTTTATGGTATAGTTTTTTTAATGAAAGCTGAAAATTGTCAAATGCTATTGACAGGAGGAAAAAGATGAGAGAAACCAACAGTTTAATATGTCATATTGTAAATGTACTGTAGGTATAATGTATGTATTGGTGCACTTAGTTCTTTTTTATTTCTTAGCTGTGAAATTCTGCAGTGTACATAATGCTTCAGTGGGAATACTGTTATTATCCGACCTCTGGAATGTCTTTACACTTTTATAACGAAAGGGATATTATAGATACCAATGTTACATTATAAAAAATGATCTATCCTCCTTAAGCACAGTTTGTATCTCCTGCTTTGTGACCTCAGTTATTGTGAAGGTATACCTGAGACAGAAGAAGACAATTTATGTAGGTGTGGAAGAGGTGGCTGTCAACAACCAAACTGTAAGTCTGTGTATATATGTGTAGGTCAAGGAATATAGTTATCACAAATATTTATTTTTCTTTCATGTGCAGGAGGAGGAGATTCCAGAATTAGAAATTGACATCGATGAACTGCTGGAACTTACAGATGCAGAGCAGCGATCAAAACTACAGGTGACCCTTGACAGGTCAAGAAAGGGAAATGTTGGAAGTTATCATGGAATTAAAATCTTTGATGCTAACTTTTTACACAAATCTTTACACATAAAACGGCAGTAGACCCACCTGCCAAAATGTATCTGAATTCTTTTTAAAACCTTAACCTTACCATTGTAGGTAAGATAACAGCCATACCACCCTGCAACTCACAACTG